AAAAAAAGTCCACAAACTCTGAACTCAACCCGCCCCCGCCCCCCAGCGCCACCACATCCCAGGCCCCGGCTGTCGCCCCCACCCCTCAGCCGCAGGGGGCCAGCGGCTTTAAGTGGAGCTGGGCTTGGGCCTTTGCATCCCCAGGCAGCCCAGCCGAGCCCGAGCCCGCAGCCTACGGTCCTCCTGGACCAGGCCAAGGGGCCGGGCTCTCACCCCGAGTCCGGCTCTCTCGCGCCCAAGGCGGCACTGGGGTCTGTGAAGGGGGAGCCCCTCCTTCCACCCGCACCTCCACCGTCCTGCTGTGAATGAGGTTTTCCTCGTTTTTTATTATGGATAATTCAAACACTGGTTATCAAAAGTTATTTTTAAGAATTTAGTTCTATTTATAAAAGCTCAAGAGACTTGTAAAAGGCCCGACGGCCCAACGACGTCCAGGTTCAATATAAGACCATTCTGGGCCGGCACCTGCCAGCATCTCCGTGACTCCGGCTTCAGCCTGATCCTTGTTAACCGAACACCTGGAACACTCTCCTGGGTGGGTCGCGGCGGCTTCCCAGACCCCGGTGTCTTTCGGCCACGGCCGTCAGTTCCTGAGCAATGACAGCTGCCATGCCTGAAATAATCCCGAAAGGTCTGCGGATCCGCCGTGAGGTCCCTTCTCCATCACTCCTCGGAGCCAAGGCCCGTGACAGTGGCCCTGAGCAGCCGCTGGGGCCGCGCGTGCGGCCTGCGGAGGTGGCGTCAAACGCGGCTTGTCCAGATTGGAGACCAGCGAACACCCCTCAAAAGGAAACACCTGAAAGGGTTTTCAAAGTGTGTCCTCAGACTGAGAGGCCAGACAATTTAACAAACTGTGTCTTTGGGGAAAGTGCTGGCGGCTGCTTACGACACAAACTCAGTGGCCGGGCCAGCCTGCTGCGGGGCTCCCGACGCAGGAGGAGACGCTGCAGGAGGAGACGCTGCACCAGCAGCCGCAGCCGCGTGAGGTTCCTGAGCTCAGCGGAGGCCCAGCTAGAGATGAGTGGAAACAATGTAAATCGTCGTTAGATGAGACCAGATACATATTGTCTACATCCATAAAATGGTGCCTTACCTCTGTCTGCTGTAACAAATACCAGGGATTGGTTGGCTTAAAACGACAGACTATTTTTCACAGCCCTGGAGCCTGGGATGTCCACCTAGGTGACAAAGATTCAGGCAGATTCGGTGTCTGCTGAGGGCCCGGTTCCTGGTTCATGGACTGCTGTCCTCACTGTGCCCTCTTCGGGCAAAGGGACGGGCACAAAGAGCTTTCTGGGCTCTTTTAGAAAGGGCGTTAATGGCACTAAATCTCACTCATCTTTTGGAAAGGGCTCCATCCTCCTGGGCTAATTACCTCCCAAGGGCCCCACCTCCAAATACCATCACACGAGGACTTAGGATTTCGAAATAGAAATTTGCGGGGACACGGAGTCCGTACCAAGCAGGGGCTGCGGAGCCCTGCGGGGGGGGCGGGGCGGGGGGCAGGGCGCGGCCCCACCCTGCGCTCAGGTTGCCTCGGCTCCGCTCTGCGGCCCCTTTTCTGCTCCTGGTGACCTCACCCGTCTCACCACGTACACGTCGTCGGTGTCCGACAGGATGTCGCTGTGGCCGCCAGCGTCAGGCCAGCTTGCAGCTCCGGGAAGGCCGTGGTGCGTGGGCATGGCTTCGCTGCCCCCACCCCCAGGTCCTCCCGACCCCGTGCCCACCGGAGCGCTGCTGTGATCAATGCTCCTTCTCCTTCTAGAATTCCTTCCACGCCTCCGCCTGAGCCAGTCGGCACGGCAGCATTTCTCCGGAAGGTCTGAGACGATCAGCCCAGGCAAGTCGGGCAGCATCATGCTTGTTCTAAACCAGGACTTCGTGGGCGTGAGGAGCGGGGAGACCCTGAGCGGTCGCCCAAGGGGACGGCAAGTGTGCCTGAAATGAACATGACACTCTCAGCAAGGCCGCCAGCGGGAGGGGCCGGGCGGCCAAAACAGCAGCCGGCCTGCCTGCGGTCACACCACCCCTCCCTTTAGGACGCCTGCACCCACCCACCTCTCCACGGATATTCACTCTGTGTTGGGGACAGGAACTTCTGTCTCATCGACCCACTGATGTGTCCTGATGCCAACAATGGGACCGGGCACATCACATGAGGTCCATGACTGCATCTCGAAGGGACCTGAGCTGAGGGTGACATACAATGACACTCGTCCCAACCAGGCCCATGTTTCCTCCTCTGACCCCATGAATATCCTGACTCCATGGCCACCCAGGATGCAGCTGTGCACTCCCCTCGTCAGCTCAGATTACGCCCCGCGAGGAGCTGCCACCGTTCCCCCCAAGACACCGTGGACAGTTCTGAGGCAAGAAGCAGGAATCAACTTCGAGAGACACCAGACAAAACTACCACGTTGAGGCTAAAGTCAGCCTTTTATTGAAAGGGTAGAAAAAGAACCCAGTGAGGGACGCAGCCGCCAGCATCTCTGTGGATGAGAACGAGCCGATTCCTGATTAACTGACTTCCAGGATCACGCCCCTTCTCCAGGGGATTTCTGCCACCTGATGCACATCTGAAACACGTACGTGGGCCGGGGCGGCCTCGCTCAAAAGCCCTCTGTTACCACCCCGACTGGGTAAGCCAAACCCGCATGCCCAAGTCTAGCAGGAGAGGCCTAACCTACCCGCCGCCTGACAGGGGTCTTTACGGGAAGGTGTCTATACACAGCCCAGTTCACGCGGGTATTGGGGGCCACATTTGAAGTAATTATCAAAATAGTGCATGGCTTTAAAAGACAAAATGGCTGTCTGCCTTTATTACATGGAAAGAAACGCACTGATCTGGAACTATAAGGATTACAAGTTAAGGTTAAAGCAAATAAATTAGCAGTATTGAAAGCATGCAATGAAATGAAAGGCGGTCCTCCTTAGCATGTCAAAGTCCCTGAAGTGGTAATGAAATTCTAATTATTTCACCCGAGGAACTGAGATACGAGTACTGTGGCTTCTTTGGGTGTTTTTACTTGTTACTGAGCCAATTCAAGCACAGTCACTGGTCACCCGTGGGTCAGGTGTTGAGCCATATGAGGGACAGACAAGGCACGATGTGATGTGATCACGTTTACTGTACCTCAGTGTAGGTGCGGCGTGTACAACAAAGAAGCCAGGAACAAAATTATTTTAAAATCTAACCGATTAGACAGTTTTAAGAGCAATAAAAGGTGTTGATTAAAATACAAAAAACAGGATATTAAACTTTTTAGGACTACATGACAATAGTTCCTGCTGCACGCGCTTATTGTAAAGTCTTTGCTGTACTAATAAAAGTTCACAACGAAGCTGTCACACTATACTTACATTTTGAAGAAGGTCGCCTACAGAAACAAAATACGGGTTTAAATATCTCCAGATGCAGGCGTGAGTGGCTCTGAACGGAGCCTTTTCCTTTCACAGAGGCTGCAGCACGTCACTCGGCGCTGGTGTACTTGGTGACGGCCTCGGTGCCCTCGGACACGGCGTGCTTGGCCAGCTCGCCGGGCAGCAGCAGGCGCACGGCCGTCTGGATCTCCCGCGACGTGATGGTCGAGCGCTTGTTGTAGTGCGCCAGGCGCGACGCCTCGCCCGCGATGCGCTCGAAGATGTCGTTGACGAACGAGTTCATGATGCCCATGGCCTTGGACGAGATGCCCGTGTCCGGGTGCACCTGCTTCAGCACCTTGTACACGTACACAGAGTAGCTGTCCTTGCGGCTGCGCTTGCGCTTCTTGCCGTCCTACTTTTGAGCCTTATTAATGGCCTTCTTGGAGCCCTTCTTCGGGGCGGGCGCGGACGTGGTGCAGAGTAACGAAGGCAGGACGTTTGGAGATTGACAGGAACGGAACGAAGGCAAATCCTGACTGTTTGCGGCGCCCTCTGCACGGACTCACAACTCTAAGCTCTGATTGGATGAAAACTGGCCAATAAACTGAGGGAATATAAAGGTGGTGTCACACGCTCCTTCTCTATTGGATGAAAACAAACGCTTTCAGGAGGCCCTACAAATAAAAACAATTTTAAGAAATGTTTTGAAGTATGTTTTAAGGATTATGTTATTACAATTGTCCCCTTTTTTAATTTTAAGAACTATCTTGAGAAAACGTTTTTTAAGTTTGAGAATGAGCGGGAACCTTCCCGTTGGACAGAAAACCAAGGGGGAAGCCCTGGCACCCACGGGACCCGCCGGAGCGCCTCCGCGGGCTCGGGCGACCACGGCCCGGGCCACCCCGGCTCTCGGCCAGAGGCCCGGCCGGGGCCTTCGCGGCCTGTTTCATAAACGTCCTCGGAAGACTCCGCGTCGCTGCTTCTAGGTCAAGCTTCCTTAGTGCAAAGCTAGCTTATCGGTTCCCGCCGTTACAGCCGCGCTCACATTTTAAACGCATCAAAACCAGAGGGCATTCAAATTACCATTTTGAGTCAAACCCGAAGTAAAGGCTCCAGGGATTCGGAGGAATGAGGAGGCTGAGTGCGCTCTGACGCCGCAGTGAGCTAGCAATTTGCCTACCGGGCGGGGAACAGCGCCCGCGAGCGGCTCCGAAGGTGGATGTGTAACTGGGGGAGAAGGCGGTGGCGCTCGGGATGAAAGCGGGTTAACTCTGCGCGAAACGGCGGGTGTTTAAAAAAAAAAAAAAAAAAAGCACTTTCCATTTCGAACGCATTTTTTCTCCAAAGAGAAAAGCTCAAGTATATTGGCTGTTTCCCAGGGTCAAACTGGTGTGTACAAGGGGAGGAGGCACTGTTCATAAACCTAAGAAAATGATTTTATTTAAGCTACTTGGGAGAAGTCCTCTAATTCAAATTGACCAATGAGAGGCGCGCCGAACGGAGAAGGCCGCCCCCAAAGGGGCGAGCGCTTCCGGGATCTAGCGACCGAGGACCAACGGGAATCGCCCGCAATCCAATCAGAGTAATTCTGTTTTTGTATAAATACAGGGTCAAGCCACTTGCCTCAGTGCACTTACGGGAAAGCGCAGGCATGGCTCGCACCAAGCAGACGGCGCGCAAGTCGACGGGCGGCAAGGCGCCGCGCAAGCAGCTGGCCACCAAGGCGGCCCGCAAGAGCGCGCCGGCCACGGGCGGCGTGAAGAAGCCGCACCGCTACCGGCCCGGCACGGTGGCGCTGCGCGAGATCCGGCGCTACCAGAAGTCGACCGAGCTGCTGATCCGCAAGCTGCCGTTCCAGCGGCTGGTGCGCGAGATCGCGCAGGACTTCAAGACGGACCTGCGCTTCCAGAGCTCGGCCGTCATGGCGCTGCAGGAGGCGTGCGAGGCGTACCTGGTGGGCCTGTTCGAGGACACCAACCTGTGCGCCATCCACGCCAAGCGCGTCACCATCATGCCCAAGGACATCCAGCTGGCGCGCCGCATCCGCGGGGAGCGGGCGTGAGCTGCCCTCGGCCAGTGGCAACCTTGAACCCAAAGGCTCTTTTCAGAGCCACCCAAAGTGTCAATTTCAAGAGCTGTTAGCAAATGTGATGGGTATGTGGGTATGTTCCCCAAACGAAGCGGCGGACAAGGACGGGTACTAATTGCGGCGGCTGCGTGGGAGTACCTGTGGACGCCCTACTCCCTCGGTCATCCCGAGTGCACCCCCTTGTCCCTATGGCACCATCCAAATGCCTGGCTGAGCCGACCGAAATGTCCCCGCACCAACAACACTGCACCAACTAACACCTGCGGGGTGAGGGTGGGGAACAGCATCTCGCTAACGTTCTAACCCGGAATTCAGGACTGTTGCAGCAACTTAACGGCAACCTCATTGTGCAGAATGTCTGCCCCAGCTAGAGACACATGACATTGTCACTAAATCAGTGCCCAGGTCTTGCAGAAATAAAGCTGAATAACTCCCTATTTGCTGCAATCTTCAGTGAGAAGGCAGCTTCCACCTTCCGCCAAATGCAAGTGTTGTGAAACCCTCAGGCAATTGCAGAGCGTGGATAGGAACGTTGCTTACCGAACCGGGAGTGCCACCGTGGGGCATTTGGTAAACAATGGAGGCTCTTTAGCTAACAGCTCTGCTCTTTAGTAAAATCAAGACCTGGTCTTGAACCACAGAACGTGGTCTTCCCAGACCTTCATTGAGCAACTGAAGACTCTCACTTGAGAAAGTCTTCAGTTACAGAGCCCAGAATTCGGGTTCAGAAACACCTGGAATAGCTAAGTGGAATACAGAGCAACATAGCGATTTGTAAGTGACTGTGCAAGAGGTTTGCAGGCTTCCAGTCAGAATATCAACTTCTTTAAGAGATTATTTTAAGGCGGAATTCAGGAAAGCAAATGGAAGCAAATGAAAACTGGAAGAGGGGTAAGGAAAGAAACAACAAAAACTGTGCTTCCAGCTATTAACACCTTTATTTGTAATAGCCTTAAAGTGGAAACAATGTAACAACTTTGTCTCTTTCTATTGGCGAATGGTTACATAAATTCTAATACAACTGAACCCTATTCAGCAATTTTGATACATGTAACAATCTGGCTGGATCTCAAGGGTAAAATGCTTAGTCGAAGCCTGTCTCAGAGGTTACATAGTGTATGATTCCAGTCAGGCGGCCTTCTCAAAACGGCAAAAGCAGAGAGGGAACCCAGGCAAGTGAGCGCCCCAGGACAGGGAAAAGGGGGTGGATGTGACTCTAAGGGGGTCACATAAAGAGCCCCTCGGTGATGGTGAAGCTTTGTACGGGCATCGCAGTCGTGGTCACGTGACTCCGCGCCTGGTGCAGGCTTGCTCAGGGCTAGCCGCGCGCAGGCCCAAATGAGGGCCTGTAAAACTGGAGAGACTAAGGCCTGGGGTCCAGCTGAGAGTGAGTTGCCGGTGTCAAGTGCCTGGTTTAAATACTATAATATAATTGCATAGGATGTCACCATTAGGGGAAACTAGATTCAATGGAGGGTTTGAAACTAACAAGGAGAAATAAAGCTGTATCTATTGTTTAGCCGTTGCTACTTAGCATTGCTTAGGCTTCTGTGGTTTGCTTAACAAATCAACATTTTCAAGTTTGTTTGCTTTATAAACAGCAGAGAGAATCTGGCTTTCTTCTGTCGCTTGCGGTGGTGACATACCCCTTTGGCAGAGGTGTGTTTCCGTTATGTTGGCATGTGATTTTGTACACATTGCTGCCCCTACCTCAAAAGTAAACTGTGTTTCCAAGTTTGATGTTTGTAATCCCCAGTTTTCTGACGGGTTCTGGCTGAGTTGATCCACGGTGTTTAGGAGAGTGTGCTTGGTGCATCACAAGGGGACAGTGTTGAGGGACAGACACCGCCAGCCCACAATGGCACCGCCGGTGCTGAGCGCTCAAGGCGCCATATCCGGATTTAGTGCCTGGTCTCCCTGCCCTTTGAACTCTGCCCCGGATCATAGTCTTAGGCAGCGAGGTGAGGTTTCTGACCGATCACCAGGAAAGTGATTCTGTTCAATTTATCTTTCTACACCAGGTTTCTGAACTATAAAACAAGTATTTTAACTATTCCTAATGCAAATGCTTTATAGTGAAGCCACCATAAAAGTGCTTTGTAAACTGTTGTAAGAGACAACAGAGATTTTTTATATAGTTATGGTGACCACTCGTTTGAATATCTAATTCCCCCATAATTCTTATTCCTCATCACTCTTCTCAAATCCTAACTCTCTCATCCTGGATATGAAAGGCCTCACGGCTGTCTTCCCGGCTTTCCTACTCAATGCAATCTCTCTAGTTCAGATTCTTTTCACATTCCCCCACGTACCCAGGTCTTCTCAAACAAGCCTCTCCCGTAAGAGGAAGAAATTATGGGATGCAGCTGTGACTGGGAACAATTAAACTCCTGGTTAGAAAGATACAGGTTACAGGTACGTTCGTTTAAAAACAAGTTTAAATAATAAAATTTAAGAAATGAGTGTCCAATCGTGGGTGCTGTAAGCAGAATAACACCTTTACCAGAATAAAGTGAAGACACATTCCAGCCACAAGATACTCGGGGCGCAGGCCTTGGGCTCAGGGGCTCAGGACCGGATGCCTGGCCCCTGTGGGTGCCCGAGGCCTGCAGCTACCTTTTCAAAAGGACATGTTTAAATACTTAAGGGCCACAGGAGAGGAAAGTTAGCAGCATTAAAGTGTATGGAGGGCATTTGAGTTTGTAAAGTAATACGTGTTTCACGAGTAACACATCAACTAACAAGGAGCAGGCGGGAATAACTAGGACCGGAGTCGAGGACTCAGAAGGGGCACCAACTTTGTCTCAAGATACGCACAGGACCTGCACATCGACTCGGAAACATCGCCGAGTGCCCCTGTCGGAGAAGCCGCAAGGGCGCCGTATCCCTCGGGATCAGCCGCCTGCGCACATCATGACTGGAAATGCTCACTCCTCATCCAGTTTACAGCCCCAAAGAGCCTGTAGAACTCAGAACTTTGTCAAGATTTGCCAGTAAAATTAAGTGGGCTTCCCTGAAATTAAAAAAAGCCTCAGTCGCAGAGATGAAGCAGAAACCGCGGGACAGGCAAGTGAGCCGCTCTTAACGCGCCAGTGCCGAGCCTGGTCGCCCCCAGCCCAGGAGCCCTCCGCCTGCCGCCCGCGCTGCCTCCTGAGCCTCGTTGTTGTCGCTCCTCCCTATTCTCCTTGTTCTGCAGCCAACGGTGGCTCCCTCGATCCTCCTAGCAACCTGGGGGAGAAACCTGTCAAAGAGGGCCGATTACACACCACGGGGGGGGGCGGGGACGGAGGTGACACTCTCACCTTGGCCCCAGGGTGGCAGCTCACTTAGCCGCAGAACAATCGCGTGCACACCCCCTCCCCCTCCCCGAGGAGAACGCCAGTGGCCCCAAGGGGAAAAAACCCAACTTTTCTGACTGCTCCCCAGGACGGAGGGGACGCGATGTTTCAGCCTCTCCTGGGCACTTTGGCCCGCGCCCACGCACGTGCAGCCGGGGTACGTCCTGCGTAGCTCTCAGTAACCTCTGCAAACCAATGGGAAAGGCAATTTTAGGAAACACCCAGACGAGAAACCCTTTCCTCGGATTGGCTGATGTACGAGAATTACTTTTTCCTCTCCCAACGTGTCTGCGCGCGGGAAGCGGGGCGGCGAGACGCGCACCTGCGGCGGGCCGGCTGCGGCGAGGAGCTACGCACGCAGTCCCGGGCGGCGCGACCACCGCGCAGGGCGGGGTCCTGCCGTGCCGCTGCGCGAGACACCTAGATCGGCAAGGGCAAGGGAGAGTGGAGAGATTAACGGATGTCCCAGACCCAGAAAGCGGGAGTTTCCTCCAAGGTCTGCCCTTGACCCCGTCATATATTTAAAAGGCGCCCCCCCCCCACTAAGTGAATCAGTGACCTGAAGGAAAACACACACACACACAGTTTGTGGTTAAGCTCTTTTTCCTGAAAATGGTGGGTGGCTCTGAAAAGAGCCTTTGAGATTTTCAAAGCAGGGCCTGCCTCTAACTTTACTTTTTCTTAGGAGCCGACTTCTTTGCCTTTGCAGCCTTCGGTTTCGCAGCTTTGGGCTTGGCCGCCTTGGGCTTCGGCGCCTTGGCCTTGGCTGGACTTTTGGCCGCCTTCTTGGGCTTCGCTGCTTTCACCTTTTTCGGACTCTTGGTCACCTTCTTTGCCCCTGCAGCCGCCGCCGGCTTCTTCGCCTTCTTCGGGGTCTTCTTGGCGCTCTTCTTGGGGGTGGCTGACCCCGCCGCCTTCTTGGGCTTCTTGGCGGCCCCGGCAGACTTCTTGGGCTTAGCCGCGCCCGCCTTCTTGGCCTTGGGCTTGGCCTCGCCGGACGCCGCCTTCTTGTTGAGCTTGAACGAGCCCGAGGCGCCGGTGCCCTTGGTCTGCACCAGGGTGCCCTTGCTCACCAGGCTCTTGAGGCCCAGCTTGATGCGGCTGTTGTTCTTGTCCACGTCGTAGCCCGCGGCCGCCAGCGCCTTCTTGAGCGCGGCCAGCGACACGCCGCTGCGCTCCTTGGAGGCGGCCACGGCCTTGGTGATGAGCTCGGACACCGGCGGCCCGGACGCCTGGCGCTTGGCGGTGGCGCCGCCGGTCTTCTTCGCCTTTTTCTTAACAGGTGTTTTCTCCGCAGGGGCGGGAGCAGCAGGAGCGACTGGAGCGGTCTCCGACATTTTTCCTGTTTTGCCCGGAAAGACAAAAAGAGACTTAAAGTGTCGGAGCGGCGTGGCGCGGCGCGGCGGCGCGGGCTTATATAGCGAGTCGCTGGGAGGTGATTGGCTGCCGGCGCGCGCGCCGCGCCGCCCGGGAGGCCCCTGCGCGTTACCGGCTGGCTGTGCTTTTTGCCCCTTGAAAAAGAAGAAAAATATCAGAAATCTGTGCACGAAGCAAGTAGGGATTTGGGGGAAACGGCCCCGAGGGTCTTCGGGCTGCCCCCCGCCCTCTTCGCCGCGCCTGCGTCCGGAGCCGGCGCCCTGATGCTGCCCTGACTCCCCCAACTCCCTTTGGAAGTGCGATCCAACTGAGACAACTTTCAGGTTTTCCTTAAAAATACTATTTTTCTCTGGTTTCCTTGCACATATTTTTTCCAGGGCGTCGTTCTACACACTCTTTTCTTTGCAAGTTTGGGTAAATAAACTCGTGTCTACTCAAATACACAAGGAAAACCAGGTTTTTCATGTGAGCAGTAGCACAGCTGGAGACGTTTGCCCTGGGCCCCGGGGATTCGCGGTGGGGGAGAAGGTTCTGCGACTGCGAGGGACGCTATTTTGGAAAAGATATTTTGTTTTCAAGTTAGGTCCCAGGGTTCTCGGTGATTTAAACATTTTAGGAAGGATGGGGGCAAGGATGCTCCTTTCGTTTTTTAAGTGGCCAGTTCTAAGTAGCCAGCAACCTTCCATAAAAAATTAGTCTGGTCTACTTCCCAGAGCCAGAGTGGGCATTAGAGAGCCACCACTCTTCCCACAAAGAACAGTCACAAAGCAGCAGAGTAAGAGTTCACGAGCTGTCGGCTGAGGGAGCCTTGCCAGGCCACGTGCGTTTTGTCCCGTCGCCTTACAATGGTAAGTTACTTAATTACAGGCACCGCATCCAACAGATTTTTTCCCCTCTAATATTCAGCATAGAGTTTTGCACATTATTTCCTATATTTCAAGGTGCTATTTAAAAGGCAAAACTGATTTGGCCTTTTCAACAGTGCAAGCAGGGACACAGGCTTAGAAAGACAAATTTCTCATTGAAATCACGGTGTGAATTTCCGTGAAGAAACTGTGAATCGCAGCTTAAATCTGTAGCCGAACGTGTCCACGGAAGGGGCTGAAGCGGCATTGCACCACAGGCGTGCGGACTCGCCCAGACCACCCTTGCAGCACAGCAGAGCTAACGGAGTTCGGTGTATAGTGCTAATTAAGCACAAACCAACATTGCCCACCAAATAACCAGGTACTGAAATTAAACCTCGTGTTGGTTAAAATCAACAAACAAGAAAAGTATTTGGTGTCTAGTGTTTCGCCTGATAAATACCCCTATTTCCAAAAACCTAGTCGACCTGGCCTGCATTCCGTGCAATTGGAGAGCTTCCTCATAGAACACCAAATAAAATTATCCACGAAAATCACTTGGGTTGTTTTTACATAGTCCTTCGCTGGCAGGCACTGACTGGAACGGCGTCTCTGGGACGGAGACCACATTGCATCCCACACGCGAAGGCTGCGCGTGAGGCGATGCGCTCACGGGGCTGGGTGCTCAGCGCTCGCCCCGCTCGGCGGGATTCCGCGGTGTCCAGCGGAAGGGCCGCTGGGCTCCGCGGCGCCGCTGTGGGCAGCAACGGCCACAGCCATGTGTTAGCCTTTTCCCTTTCTGTGCAGACCCTAACGTCATCCAGCCCTAAAGGTAACAGTAAAAGTCAAATGCGTAAAAGCTCACTAATTTGGCCACCATTCGAGGGACACTATCCGTTGTTGGCAATTGCTGGAACTGTCCCCGTGTGGCGTGCATTTGACGCGCGACGGTGGAGCGCGCCTTCCACAGCCTCGGGTTGCTGCTTCAGCGGCCGCCTGTGGTCCCTTAGGTCACAAGCAGGGGAGAGGCATTGGAACGGAGGGCCAGCTCCTTCCTCCTGTGCAGTTCACAGCGGTCCTCCCTGAAGGGCCGGAACCGAGACAAATGCTGTCACCTGAAGAGGTCTCCCCAGCGGCCTGTAAGGGGGCGGGGCCGCGCTGCACAGTCCCCGCTGTTGCTTAAGACCCTCGCTGGGGCTGTTCGCAGCACAGAGGCGGCTCCTGGACACTGGCTCGGGGCCCTGTGACAGTGACCTTGAAGGCTCCCCCTCTGACTGCGGCAGCCCAGCGAGGACGCTGTGCTTTTACTTCTGAGTCCTCAGGCTGTCCACACCTGAGGACCCTGGATTTCCACCAGGACAAGATGTAAGGCGCGGCAGCGGCGACCTGCAGACAAGCGGTGGACGGCCAGCTCTCGACTTCGCATCCTCTTGGGGGCCGTGTTCGCCCCTCGCCACGGCGGGCGACGGGGAGACCCGGCGAGCGCCCACCGGTCCAACACTGGGCTGAGCGAAGGGGGCACAGAGGCCTGCGCGGCACAGGGACAGCGCCGTGGGGCTGCACAGCACGCCGGGCTGTGCGTTAGGATGAAATGTGCTCAGAGGGCCAGGAGGAGTCACCTCTATTTTAATTTCCTCTCAGATGGTCTCACCGGAGGTTCTCTCCCACCTGAAGCTCCCCTCCAGGCACTACTGCATCTTCTTAATTTTAGTTCCTAAAAAGGGCCACCACGCTCAAACTTGCAATGTCCTTCTTACATCTCTCGCCCCCCGCCCCCCGCCTCTCCACCCCCCCTCTCCCCACGCCCCCTCTGTAATCTGGGAAACCCAGGAGTTGGCTAATTTCCAGTGCACCTCAAAAAAAGCCCAGACTCCACTTCCTCTCAGCCTCCCACCCCCGCCCCCATCTGCGCGGGAGGCTCTCCGGAAGGGGTTCTCGCATCAGCCGGCCCAGCAGCGCTCAGCCTGCGCCTGTGCTGGCAGAGGCCTTGCTCGAGGCTCCGTAACTGAAGACAGGACTTTTCAATGTTTTTTAGGCCTAATCGATTTGAATTGAAATCAGCGCACGTGGCTAGTGTCTAATGCAGGGCAGCACAGCTCTACTGAGCTCTTCCCCAGCCTGCACGCGCCCCCTGCCCCCCCACCCCGCCCCAGGAGGCAGTTCAGTGGACTCAGGGTTGGACGTCCAGGCGACGCAGCCGCACAGCTGCCCCCACCCGTCCCCCTGGCGGAACCAGGAGCCTGGGAGCTGCCTCGGGCTGACCTCTCACCTGGACCTGATTTTTCCCTCCCCTGTAGGTGGCCGTTTCTTTAAAAGACCGTGTTCGTCGGTGCTCTCTCCCTCCCGGGAGCACAGCCACGCCTTCCACCCTGTCACGCGCGCACCCCCTAAACCCCGAGGGTTCCCATGGCGCTTGGGAGCAGGAGAGCGACGGGCGGCAGCAGCTCCGCGCGGCGTGGCCCCTGAAATCCTCTCCGAGGCCCCCTTTCTCGGACGGCCCAGGAAGCCAACTGGGGCCCCGCCCCCACGCTCTCCTGGTGCTTCTTCTATTCTAAGCGCCTGTTTGTTTCACGGTCCCCAGCTTTATTCAGCTTACATCAAAATTAAAAAGACCAAACAAACAAAGCGTTTGTCATAGTAAACCTGGGGTTCGTACACTACCTCGGCATACAGTAGGCCCTAAGTTGTTGACTCACTCACTCGCTCAATGATGGTCGTTTTGCGGTTTCTCCAAAAGATGAGTGTGGGCGATACCGGCCCCTGAGTCGGCTTCCGTCTGTCTCAGGCTCTGGGTGGAGGGAACGGTTCATCTTCTCGTCGTGTCCACGGAATAGGGTTTCCACGCGTCACCCCTGCTGCACGTAGAAGGCGCTCAGTGTGGTCGTGGGGACAGGGGCCGGATGCGGGCCTTTGTCTGTTAAACGCCCCAACCCGTCACCTGCGACCAGAATATCACTGCAGGTGCTTTTTTTACTGGGACAGCATTTCACAGCGTTTGTTCGTGTTATTTTTAATTCTGTTAATTTACACACTCGTGTTCACCAGGACATACTTTCACGTCTTTCCTGGCACAGATCAGAGTGGGTGGCAAGGTCACGAGAATCCAGAATCGTAGGCCTCAGAGCTCCCCCCGCAGCACCAGGCGCTGGAACAGGTTAGCTCTCCAAGCCCGGGGGCCTTCGTTTTTACAATGCAAACAGTGCTTTACAAATATTGGAGCGGAAGGCACTGGCTCCCCTCCCTAGGGCGCCCTCTCAGGAGTGCGGACCACGACGCGCAGTATTACGCCCTGCAGGTGAGAAGCTGCGATGGCTCGCCCAATGCTGTATTGCCAGAGTTGTAAAGGTCAATACTTGTGGTCTTTAAATCGATCCTCGCACTTAAAATTAATTTAATTCTGGGATCTCCCGCTTTTGTAAATAAATGTAGCGTGATTGCTTCTTTTTATAAGCGGTCATAGTGGTCAGGACACCCGCACGGTACCAGCGATCGCAGCAACGCGCGGGCATAGGACTCGAGGCCACAGAAACCAGCCACTGCGGACTCCGGCGGGGAAACAGGAAAGAGTCAGACGCTGAGCGCGATTCCCCGCCCCCTGCGCGTTCCGTTTCCTGAGACGCGCGCAAAAGTCATATATAAGGGGCTGCAGCCGGCGCTTCTGCGGAGTGTGATCTTTAATTGCGCTTCACCATGTCCGGTCGCGGCAAAGGCGGGAAGGGCCTCGGCAAAGGCGGCGCCAAGCGCCACCGCAAGGTGCTGCGCGACAACATCCAGGGCATCACCAAGCCCGCCATCCGGCGCCTGGCGCGGCGCGGCGGCGTGAAGCGCATCTCCGGGCTCATCTACGAGGAGACGCGCGGGGTGCTCAAGGTCTTCCTGGAGAACGTGATCCGGGACGCCGTCACCTACACGGAGCACGCCAAGCGCAAGACGGTCACGGCCATGGACGTGGTCTACGCGCTCAAGCGCCAGGGCCGCACCCTCTACGGCTTCGGCGGCTGAGCGCCTGTCCCCGCGGCCCTCGCCCTGCGGCCCCGGCTCGTCCACAAAAGGCCCTTCTCAGGGCCACCCACCTGGTCACACGAAGGGCTGTTTGTAACCTCAAGGTAGTGCGCGATACTTTGTGGCGGTGATCTGTTGACATTCTTTTAACAAAATCACTCCTTTGCAAAGGCCGCCGCTCTCCTTGGGGGGCCCTTTCCCAGTCGGCGGCCCTGAGCTAAGATGGCGGCTCTCGCGTGAGCCCAAAGAACAAAGCAAATTGCGGGGGGTGGGGCAGGGCGGTGCATCCTCCTGCGTCTGGAAACACCCTGTTTGTTACCACCTGGAGCAAGTTTCTTTTGGGATGGCAGCAGTTCTCCAGTGTAAACGATAGCTAATTGGTTCCACCGTGTTCTGGGGGCCTTAGAATTCGTTTGCCCGGGAGGTTGCACTGCCTTGCACCTGGTGTCCTGTAGGGGGCGCCCAGGTTCCGCGCGGGCCTCTCTGCGGAAAACCCCGGGAGAGCCGCGGACAGAGTTAAACGCTGGTTCTGCTTTTAGCAAAAATCAGGCCTGAAAGACCACCTAATCTTTGTCTCACTCAGTGCATTCCTGAGGGCGTGGACCTGTAGCCCGACTTAGGTCATTGCTCCAGAACTGTGATGATTAACTCAAACCCTCCTTCGTGAGTTCTGTCCACCGGCGGCCTTTTCCCCCGGTGACCCGGCCAGCACCCCTCCTCCGTTTCCCCGCAGGCAATAGCCGCTGTGTAGGTCAGGTCCTGTGCATCCTAAACCCCTCCCCGCCCGCGCCACTTAACCCTGCCCCCAACCCCGTGAAAACACTCCCAGTCCACCTGTTCGGCGTCTTAGGACAGTTGTTTACGGAAGTGCCGTCCGCTATCAATAACTTACTTGGGTGGACAATAATTTAGCTGGTCCTCCTACTCTAACCATAACATCCCAACTTAAATTTTTAATAGTCTCTCTCCTGGTTTCTTCTCTACCATATGCAAGAAAGAGTAGGTTTACAGTTGTATGTGAAAGTTTATTCTTGTATTATATATTATTGGATTATTTTCCATACGAGCAACTATAAACCTACTTTTACCCCATCCTGAATGTAAATATATTTCAGTATCTCTCAGCTTGATCCCCAACCCCGTCAATTACTAGACAGATCCTTCCCATTTTATCAAATTTTCAAGGCTTGAATACTCGAGTCACTAAGATTATGGTTTCTGAATGGACCACTCACTAACAAGTAGAGTTGTCATGGGTAACAGTGACTTACTCATCTCCAAATGCAAAGTTATGCTAAGGGTTTAACCTCTGCTCCACCTGACCCCGGTTGTTCCCCTGCCTTCCCAGGCTCCTCATGAGGCTGTGGGGCGCCTCTCCTCGCCCAGGTCCTAGGTTTCCCCCTGATCTTTCCCAGCTTTTTGGGGTCCTATGCCTGTTTCCGATTCTCCCCAGAGAGCTACCCCCCGAGGTCCATTCTTGTCACTTCCTAGGTCCTCCGGGAGCCAACCCCCGGGAGTGCGCTGGCAGATCACCACTCAGGCGCCCAGGGAAGAACCGGAGCGTCCATGCACGGTGGCAGAATCCGCCCCTTTAAAATATGCCTCTTTGGCATAAGGACTATTTTGAGTTAAAGACAGTGGAAATGAAGCAGGTGCAAAAGTGGGGCCCTGACCCCGCCTGTCCTTCCGAGAGAAGATGGCGGCCCCGTGTGAAACGCGCCCTCCTTGGACACGCCCAAACGGGCGTTCCTGTAATCGGAAGGGAGGCTGAGGCTGAGAGAAACCTGCACCGACAGACCTAGTTAGGGAACCCTTATCTTCCTTCCGCCTGTCCGGACGTTTTGGTCATGAGTTGACAAAGCCCATTCTGTTAAACGCAGGATACAAGGGCCAATCACTTTTGGGCTCTTCACTTTCCTGGGAAGACTTGCCTATACATGGAACAATATTAAACACAATTTGTTCGCTTGTCTCCTGTGAATCTGTCTTATGTCCACTTAATTTTCAGGCCCAGCTGGACGTCCTTCAGGAGTAACTTCTGCCTCCCAGGGTACCATCCGGGTCCTGCAGTGGCCGCACTCTACCCGCCTGCGCCCTGCCCGACGGTCGCTCCACACCACGGCGGCCAGGTCACAGCGGCTTGCCCAGGTCTTCCTTTCCCTACGACGGTCCCCAGTCAGGTAAACTCTCTAGTAGGTGCCCTTGCACACTTTTCTCCTGTTAATGTGTTTCTTCGGGGCGAACACATTTCCTCTTCTTCCCTTCTGGGCTTTTTGGCTGGTCTAACAATCAAATTCACATAGGACAGATTAACAGGAGAAAAGCCATGTTAATTGTGTTCATACAAAAGCACCAGAAAAAAGAAGACCCAATGGCAGTGGGGCCCGGAGACTCGTCCCCGGCCTGAACTCGGAACGAGGCGGGGCCTGGCGCCAAAGGGAGGAGGCCGCTCACGGAGCTGGGAGCGGAGATCTGGTGATCGGTCGGCTCCTGGCCCCCAGGCACCCGTTCAGGCCAAAGCAACCGGTAAACGGCGCTCGTCACGGGACAGGCCGCTACTCGATTCTCTTAGGCATGAAAGTGTTTTCTGAGTCTGCTGGGTCTTCACTGCCTTGAGGTCAAAATAAGTCACACGCCGACGTGGTCCGTGTTGGGGGTGAGCTCCTCTGCCCCCCTCCACTCTTACATCCCTTTAATTCGCAGGCCCAGCCATGGACGTGGAGAGGGAAGGCAGAGGTCGCATCGGACTTCCCTGCAAAGGCTAGAGCGTCAAAGAGGTGTCCCGCCACGACCCCAGGGAGAGAGAGGGGAAGGAAGTGTGTGCTGTTATGGGGACGTGGCGGGAAAGAAGGACCGCGCGCTCCCTGGGGCCCGCGCCCGGGACAACTGCGGAGTCTGCCTCTCGGGGCAGTTTGGAGTATGAACGGAGTTTAATGCGTCCACAGTTTTACCGTAGAATGGCCCACTCTCATTCTCGTTTATTAAAGTTGCACAGAAAAACCTACAAATCAGACTATCCAAGGGCCGAATACCCTGCGATAAACTGTGCATGTTGCGGTTTCTTTCAAATGTAAACTCAAGTTTGCAGCCTTGAGGGGGCCTCCCCACCTTTACCCCCCACCAGGCATGACGGAAACGAGGCTCCTGGACCTCTGTCCCCACCGGACGCTGCAGCCTCCGTCGGTCCGCCTGCCGATTCCGATTCCTCTAGTGTCAGGGAGGGACCCTCGGCAGCGCCGCGCCCCAGGGGCATTATCCTGGGCAGCCCAGCGCGGCCCAGTTTACCTCGGCTCCAGGTCTAGGGCAAGCAGCAGGCACTGTGTAATGCAGGCTTGATATCAGACTTCCTTTGCTGGAGCCTGGTACTCCTATTGTATACAATACAGATAGTAAACATTTTTAATCTATAATGATTTCTGTAAACAACATTTTCTCAAATGTCGGACATGACTTGTGTATATGATAAACTTCAGTCTTCCATTAAAAACTTTTCTCAAAGCAAACAAAAATGCTTTTCTGAAGCGTTGCATCAAAAATGGAAATAATTGAATTGGCTGATGCATCCATTTGAGGACATACTTTGTATTTAAAAACTTTTGATAAACACTGTTGCGTTTGAATGGTCCATTTTTTTTTTTAAACGAGGAAACAAACCTTACGATTTACGGAAGGCAGAGTTAAGATTAAGGTGAACTAAGGGGGCGGTAGGCGAGGAGAAAGGGGCCTGGGGCCGTGACCGCGGGAGGGGCACCCCCTTCGCAAACGCGAGGTGAGGCCTCGGGGCGCAGAGGGAGCAGAACATCCGAGTTAGAGCCCGACCCCTTGGCCTGGCGCAGGGTGACGCGCAGGCTGTTCGGCCTCGGGCTCAGGGCGGGGCGGCTTGAGGATAGAAATCGGCCAGACCCAGTCAGTTACATTTTAACTCAAGCCCACCTTTTCTTTGAGGGGCGGGCACAAGTGAAGACAGTTAGGTACCTGGGCGGAGGAGGGCGTTAAGTGAGGCCAGACTGGGCCCTTCTCTCCCCGGGCAAGTTACGAATTAACACCCAGCATTTTTGTTGCAATTCTTATTTTAGTCTCTGGGTTCCTGTGGGCGGCGGCAACACCCTCTCGGACTCGTAATTTATGCACATTTACCGATCCCGCGCCGCCACCCAACCACCACGGGACTAAAACCGGGCTCAGCGGCGCGCCCAGGCCCTCTGGCCAACCAGGCCCGTACCTGATACTCTCCGGCGGACAAGGGGCGGGGGAGTCCCGGCCAAAGAAAGATCTGGGGACTCCAAGTCCCTCCTGCGTTGCGCGTGATAGTGACTAGCAGGGACAACCCCACTCCAAGTTTGCTTTGGCGTTGTACCGCCTGCCCCTGTCCCAGCCTCGCTCCCTCCCGATGAGCCGAGGGCGATGCGAAACCTGTGCCCCTCCGCAAAGATTTAGGCCGTTCACGGAGGAACCACCGACCATAAAATGACGCTGGAATCAAACCCAAAAGGCGTGTTCGCAGAACCATCTAAACACGAAAGGCGCACACAGCTCTTTCCGAGAGGTGGGCGGCCCTGAAAAGGGCCTTTTGGTGGAGACAAAGACGCGGGGACGGATGGTTCAGCCGCCGAAGCCGTAGAGGGTGCGGCCCTGGCGCTTGAGCGCGTAGACCACGTCCATGGCCGTGACCGTCTTGCGCTTGGCGTGCTCCGTGTAGGTGACGGCGTCCCGGATCACGTTCTCCAGGAAGACCTTGAGCACCCCGCGCGTCTCCTCGTAGATGAGCCCGGAGATGCGCTTCACGCCGCCGCGCCGCGCCAGGCGCCGGATGGCGGGCTTGGTGATGCCCTGGATGTTGTCGCGCAGCACCTTGCGGTGGCGCTTGGCGCCGCCTTTGCCGAGGCCCTTCCCGCCTTTGCCGCGACCGGACATGGTGAAAGAGTAACCGCTGCGACGTTTGTCCCTACAGCAGCCGCTGCAGCCGCTTAAGTAACCACTGGGCGGGCCTCGGGTGAAACAGACCGGAAGGGGCGGGGCGCCCAAGCCCCGCCCCTGCCGCGGAAGCCCGGTGTGACGGCGGGGCCTGGAGGTTTTCTTACTCAGAAAATAAGAAATCCTAAACACGGGTGGCTATCGTGTACACAAAAGACACCACCTCGTTGCTGTGTGTGTTTCAGGATTTGTCCATCCCGTGGATGTCATTGGATCATTTCCACGCTGGAAATGAAACAATTACAAAGCGCAGGAAACAAAGGAATCGGCAAGCTAGTTGCCAAGCAACCCAGCCAGGCCCTGGGCTTGGAGTCCCTGAGCTGCCGGCCTCAGCTGGTATTGGCCGTTTGTTAAACTGGGTTTCAGTGGCCTTATCCATAAAAAAGGATACATACTTGTCAATAATTGTGCTGTTGTCAGCCACATGGCTGGCTTATGCAGCCAATTCCCGTCGCCCCGACTTCTGACTAAAGCACACGGAAGGATTTGAAAATGTTTCCAGAATAACACCAGCAAGTACCGTGTGCTTCAAGTTGAAAAAAATTGATCATAGGCGCTCACACAGTGAAGGATTTCGGCGGAAAAGAGTGTGAACCGCCAGGGGCCTGTTACTCCGGAGGGTAGGGCGTGGGGGGGGGGGGCGCGCGTCCTTGTCCGGGCCTGGGGCCCGGCATTCCTCTCAGGCTGTTGTCAGCTCGAAGGAGGAAACGCAATTTTATGCAAATGACAATAATAAAAACGCAGTCCTTGTGAGATGTCTGCGTTATTTTAGAAATGCGTTAAGGCGACATAAAACATGAGAGCATTAGAATGGAAATGACAGCCTTAGAATACAAAGTTCCAAACAAGAGATGGTTTTTATTGTTGTTAAAAACAGAATTCAACCGAGTAAATTTGAAGATCTAATTGGCTTTTTAATCAGTTCGCAATCAGACCACACCCCACTTACAGCTGGAAGGGTCCCCAGAGCGGGTCCCCTTAAGGCGTGGAAAGCTTTTGCAGGGCCAAGGATGGGGCAAGCGAGCCCCAAAGAATGCAACAAAGAAAGGAGAGGATCTCTCTTTGGGGAAAGTGAGCGGGAGGGCTTTATCATGCAGATTTTCTCATCTTTCCAGGGGGCGGCAAGGGCCCAGGTGACAGGTTACCTTGCTGCTGCTCCACCAGACAATTCCACACTTGTTCATTATGCTGTTTGCGGGAGAGATTGAAACTATAATGAGATCAGGTACTGAATCTAGGTCTGGGGATTTTAGCGCAGGCGACACCATTGGGGCCCCGTGGTTTCTGTCCCTTAACATTGTGCACTTTTGATGCACCCAGCACACTGTCCCAAAGGCCATGGAAACTCACCCAAGTTACAGCATCGAAAAATTTGAGGTCACAAATACCACTGTGAAACTCCATTTAGTTTATTTTTAGGTAGAAGCAGCAATTATTTCCAAAAACATGGACCAAGGTAAACAAACCAAAACTCAACCAAATGGATATCTCATCACTAGAACAGCCAGAAAGAGAAAAACTGTGTTTTTGAAAAATCACATTGTTTTGTTAAGCAAGTCATAGAATCCTAAGCGATACACAGTAGCGACTGCTGATTGGTGCAGCTTTTTAAGAACAGTTAACTGGGAATACAGTCCCTAAACCCAGTTTCCCTTAATATAATTGTAATATCAAAACCAAGAAATGGACATTGGCAAATTACAGTCACAAGACTCCAAGCTTTGTTCAGTCGACCAGATGGCGAGGGTCTCGCCTGGGCCTGCGCGTGGCAGACCCTGCGCACGCCTGCCCCGCGGGCGGAGTCACGTGGCCACGACTGTGCTGCCCTTACGAAGCTTCTCTGTCACCGGGGGACTCCGTATGTGGCCCCTTCGTGCTCACACGCACGCGCCTCTCCCCCCTCCCGGGCCTCACTCACCCGGTGTCCCCCGCGGGGCTCGTCCTTTTCCGAGGGGCACGTGAGCGGAACCACACGCTGTAACCGCTGACATTGGCTGTCCTTCCCCACTCAGCATTATGCCCTTGGGATGCAGCCAGGTTGTTCCAGGTATCAATAGCTTCCGGTTTGACGGCTGAGTAGAATTCAGTTGTATCGGGGAATGGGAATTTGTGTCGGCAGTGTAAGGGACGTTAAAACCTGTAGAGAACTTTAATGATTCTATCGGAGCCAAACTGAGGACAGTTGTCACGGAAGCAAATAATGGACTGAGGAAACGCTCCCGGAAGTGGCCATTGGAGCGCTTACCTTTCACCTCAGGATCAAAGGGGAGACAGGAGGGTCACAGGGGATGCCCTGTCGCTCGTTCAGGGAGCTGGGAGACAGCAAAACAGGGAAGCTCGGGCAGTGGGTGAAAAGTCACACAAACAAGCAGTTCTTTTGCATTTGTATTTCATAGTGAACCTGCAACAATTAGCATGATAACAACGACAATGAGGGGACCTGTGGCCTCCATTCCGCTGCAGGGGTCTGCGCCCGGAGGGTAGGCAGAAAGGGGACACCCCGACATCCCAAAAGTTTGCTGTTAGAGGCAAACAGACCAGAGGCAGGAGCAGTTGAGGGGAAGACTGGCCTTTGTCAGGGAAGATACCGGCCTCGGAATGGACTGCCCACGGTAACTCGCTGTTAGGTAGAAAGCTTTTCCATTTCAGACCATCCTAGGTCGTACCTTCTGGTCCCTAAGCTGATAGGGCGCCAGGCAGGCCTCCCCTCAGCTGGTCAGGTATCATATGTACCCCACCCCACAACTCAACACTTTAGTCTGTGTACTAACCATTTGTCCCCCAAAAGATAGTTGTTTCTATTTTAAGGCTGTTGCAAATAAAACTATTAAAAGCTTTCTGCAGAGGGACTTTTTAAATTTCTTCCCCATTACCCCACCTCCAGTTTAATTAAACTTGGTACCCCTACCTTCCACCCATAAATTACAATGTATAAAGGAGCATCTAATATTACAACTTTAAAGTCACAATGTTCAAAACTGTTAAATAGGCAACCTATTAACCCTTTCCAGTCGCTTAGAAAACAAGCGGTTTTGCTGTCACCGACTGCGCAGCCACGAGTGCCCAGAGCCTGGGCGAGCGCTGTGCTGTCCGCGGTGCGTGCAGGCGGAGTCACCCAGGTGCTCGGAGGAGGTGGGAGGCCAGAGCTCTCCCCAGGCAACTGCGGCGCGTACTCCCCCGCCCTCCCCCAACACTTCCCTTAGGAAGATTACATTTCTTGGCTCACAGATCTTCTAACTGAAAGTGTGGGTGGCTCTGAAAAGAGCCTTTGGGTTCAAGGTTGCCACTCGCCGAGGGCAGCTCACGCCCGCTCCCCGCGGATGCGGCGCGCCAGCTGGATGTCCTTGGGCATGATGGTGACGCGCTTGGCGTGGATGGCGCACAGGTTGGTGTCCTCGAACAGGCCCACCAGGTACGCCTCGCACGCCTCCTGCAGCGCCATGACGGCCGAGCTCTGGAAGCGCAGGTCCGTCTTGAAGTCCTGCGCGATCTCGCGCACCAGCCGCTGGAACGGCAGCTTGCGGATCAGCAGCTCGGTCGACTTCTGGTAGCGCCGGATCTCGCGCAGCGCCACCGTGCCGGGCCGGTAGCGGTGCGGCTTCTTCACGCCGCCCGTGGCCGGCGCGCTCTTGCGGGCCGCCTTGGTGGCCAGCTGCTTGCGCGGCGCCTTGCCGCCCGTCGACTTGCGCGCCGTCTGCTTGGTACGAGCCATGCTAAGAGATTGCAAACAACGTTCACAACTGGAGATACTGCTGTGCTTCCTTCTATTTATAACGTCAAACTCCTCCTGATTGGTCTGAATGTTCAAATTTCGCGCCATAAATTCAGTAGCTAAATAGTCCTTGTGATTGGCTATCAGGTCTTTAAAAATCACCCATTGAAAGTGCTCAGTATTTTTTAACTAAGTCCTCCGCCCTTGATGCACCCTGTATTTTGACATGTTCTAAGCATTTCTTAATTGGTTTTGTTTAATCTCCTTAACAATTTCCTTAATCTCCTTTTTGGGAAGTTAAGTTTGGGAAGAGACAATAAAAGATCCAGGGTTTCTCAATCTTCTAAAAAAACTCCGCGTTTGAATATGATCAATGCCATCCAGTTTCATCTTTTAAAAAAACTTTTGACCTTGAAGAGATATTTTATTGCAGCAGTGCAAGCAGCCTATTTCACACTTTCTAGCCTTCCACGGACACTGGTACCCCTTTCGGATACTCTGCTTGGTGTAACAAAAATTCTATCACTGGAGAAGTGAGGTGGTTCTTTGAGTCTTCAAAAGCTTACTTGTTGCCGGCAGTGCTGAGAGCACCTGGAAAGTCCATGGCGTACCTTTGAGTGCATTTAAACATGCAGCTGACTTCTAGGTGCATTTTTCTACCATTAGCAGCTCAGTGATGATTTCACGGGAAAAGTACCGTCAAGAATTGGTGTTACGTTTTGTCTCTTTAGATCTGGATAGAAGAGACAAGGTTCATAAATACGTACTATTTTCAAAACATTACTTTTTTTTGCACTGTTGTGAATATTAAAACTTGCAAAAGGAAGAAGAGAGTTCAGGGCGACTTCCTCATTAAGTAGCTCTGAAATTCCCTTGATTGCGTGGAAGATTGCTACTGGATGACTTCATCCAATCAGGGATGAGCTTGGCTAAGCACCTATTTGCATAGAAGCCCTACAAATATAGCCCAGCCTTAGACACAACACTCATTCTTCTGTTTTCTTGTTAGAAAACTCTGCATCATGCCCGAGCCCGCCAAGTCCGCGCCCGCCCCGAAGAAGGGCTCCAAGAAGGCGGTGACCAAGGCGCAGAAGAAGGACGGCAAGAAGCGCAAGCGCAGCCGCAAGGAGAGCTACTCGGTGTACGTGTACAAGGTGCTGAAGCAGGTGCACCCGGACACGGGCATCTCGTCCAAGGCCATGGGCATCATGAACTCGTTCGTCAACGACATCTTCGAGCGCATCGCGGGCGAGGCGTCGCGCCTGGCGCACTACAACAAGCGCTCGACCATCACGTCGCGGGAGATCCAGACGGCCGTGCGCCTGCTGCTGCCCGGCGAGCTGGCCAAGCACGCCGTGTCCGAGGGCACCAAGGCCGTCACCAAGTACACCAGCTCCAAGTAGACCCGCAAGGAAGTAGCTTGGACTCCTGAACCCCAAAGGCTCTTTTCAGAGCCACCCACGTTGTCACATAAAAGAGCTCTAACGTGAGTGTTGTCATAGATGTTGACATAATTTAAAACGGACCATCTCTTTAAAGAAGCTGTTTTTATGGGTCACTGCTGACAATATGGTACTGTCTACTGGGTAAGGTTAGTTTTTAGTAAACGGAAGTGACTGGGCTAGGACGGAGCCTAAAGGGGACCTGTAAAAGAACTAATTCAAACCTTTCATTATGCAAGTAATAGGCCTTTGGGGCTGCTTTGAAAAGCATCGAGTGGGTTTTACAAGAGAAAGTTACAAACGGAAACCTGAGTTGGGCCAAAAACAAGGCCTCTTCGTTTGGGGGAATGACTTTGGCATGGTCAGTCTCTCCTTCTACAGACAGAATCAACAACACAGTTTCAGCTGTGACTTTTCAAGTCCTCGATTAACAAGCACATAGGTGCCTGAATGTGACCCGTTTGATCCACCCTCTTGGGCTCCTCCGTGGGCCCTGGGGTCGGGATGGAACGGGCTATGCCAGTCTGAGTGCCTGGACTTCTCTAACGGGAGGGCGGGTGGGGGGCTAGGTCCCTGGGTCCGCCTACGGAGGCCGGTTGGCGTTCAGACAGCGACAGGCGCTGGTAGGAAAAGGCCAGCGAGCAGCCCTCAGGGGGCCCCTCATCCAAAATGGGTAAACAGTGAGCAAACGACGCGGGGAGCGTCTGTCTAAAGGTCGACTTATCATTGGCAAAAGCTGAGTTGATCTTAAGTTTTCAGTTTCCCTGGAGGCAGCTCTGGGGGGTAGAGGGGGCCAAAGAAGGTGGGAACGGAGGAGACAGGGACACAGGAAATGCAAAAATGGGCAGCCTTCAGAGTTCGGTTGTGGAATGTAGTTCACAGGAGATTGAAGGCGTTTGATCCACCGTGTGTGCTCTGCTGGAGAGATGGGGGGCCAGGTGCACACTCCCGGTCCGCCCAGCCCCTGCTCCTCCAAAGACGTGGTCCTCCATTCCCCCCTCAGCCCAGAGGGAGCTCCTGGCAGGAAGGAGGGGGAGGGAGGAGGAAAGGTCAGGGAGAAATGTGTGAAACACAAAACCAGGCATTCAAGTAGGGCGACTGCCCCATTCACAGTCTATGAGGAATGTGGTATCTTGCCCAGCCTCTTTCCCGTCACGTCTTGCTGTACATTTAAGGTTCATTCAAAACAAATGAATCATGGAACACGGGCACTTCAATTGGTCTGTGAGCCATTCTGTTCCATGGCCTTGGAAATGGCCGGCTTGGCACTGGATTGGGCGCTTCCATTGCATTGAGGTAATGCCCCTGTTCTCCTTCATAGGCCCCATCCACCCCGTGGTCCAGGAGGTTTGCTCCGGCTTCGGCCATCACACTCACATTCTGTCTTGAAGGAAGAAAAAGGGGCAAGTTAGTACCCACGCACATTTGTTGAAGCCCTGAGAGGCGGTAAAATTTCACCTTTGCTAAGACGCCATGGACCAAAAGAAATGGCCTTGTCTGGCTGCCAAGGAAGCTTGAGGTGTTTAATGATGAACTAAGAAAGGAAGATCAAAATGGGGGCCATGGCAGTCCCTACCCCATGTCATGCCTACAGGCAGCACAAATAAGATTCAAGAAAGCTGATGAGTCCCCAAGTCTTCAGAAGGACAGAGACGTGTCCTAATGCAACACGAATGAATTGTAAATACTGGCAAGAATGGTTTCCGTGGGAAAGAAAATGAGTTAATATCACTCTAGTTAGAATGAAATTATCATTTTGACGCGCACAGGGCCTGATGGCACCGGGAGCCTAGAAGCAGCGGTGCGCAGTGAGCCCGGGGCTGCGGACATCGGGAAGATGCCCCAGACCCGGAGGGAGACCCGCATGGTCAGGCTCCTGCGTTCTGTGAAAGAGCTCAGCCTGAGTCTGGAGTCCAGCGACACCCAGCTGGTCCCAATGGGCATTGCAAGGGCACCTGTCCGGGACACAAGGTCCAGTCCTATCTGCCCCTGTGCAGCCTTTTATGTCGGTGGGTTTTCCTCGGCTCCTGCAGGAAACATGCCAGCTGTCCTGTGCACTCAACACGGAGACCTCGGACCTATAGTGGAATCAAAGGCCTTAGGTGCACTTGGTCATGGGCCATTGCTTTAGAGAACATTTAATTACATGATAGAAAGAAACATGCAATTTGCAAATACTTCCTACTGGAGAGAGTCCATAGGCAGGCTGCTTTTCCTGATGAGACCCAAAGAACCGCTTAGAGAACAGGCATCTAAAACTGGCCTCCGTGGGAATCGCCTGAGGGGAACTTGAACCGTCAGGCCGACCTGGATGGCTCTGCGACTCCGCATCTCCAGCAAGGTCCGAGCGGTGCCCATACTGCTACTTGTCCCCAGACTCTAAAGTCCTCTGGGCTCAGCCTTCAGTTCTGCTGCCAATGGGCTCATTAGAAATCCTGAGGACCGATTATCAGTGATACAATGCCCTCGTTGTTCTGTGAGAAAAGGACAAAGACTTCACAGGAAAGCCAAAACTACTTCCCTTTTAACTTTACCCTGCGATGGAAACTCACATGAAAAAGCATCAGACATGTCTCCACAGCACTAGTTTCTCAATGATCAATGACCAAACACACAGGAACAAAGTGCGAGGAGGGGTCAGTGGAAAATGCACACCCTACATCCAACCCTAGTCCTAGTGCAACACAGGATTGTGGGTAAGGAACCTCACCTCTCAGAATCGATGTCCCAAGGTAACCCAACGCTGCCCCTTCCCAACTACCTGAGACACAAGGAAACAACCCGGCTATCGCAGGCACCCCTCAGCGCACCTGCAAACCATTTACACCCTACCTCCCGGGAGTCAGCGCAGCTCCTGCTTTGGGGCAAACTTGCACATAACCTATCCACTTCCCGGGCACAAAGCTGTCCGGGAGGGAGGGTAGGAGACAGTGGGCGCTTCAGAGGAAACTGCAGACCAACCAGTCCCACTTGACTCCTGTAAACAAGTCAAGGATTACGCAGTAACTTTATGAAGACAAATCTCCACCTAAATGTCCCCAATCAATTTCAAGCAAAAACGTCAAGACAATTAAAACTGTAACTTAATACACAACTAGGAAAATTATAGCTAATTCTGAAAAAAAAAAAAAAAGGGAGGTGACCCTTAAGAACCGTGTAGTGGGTTAGATCAGCGCTGGGACAGGCCAATTCTGGGCTCTGACCTATTTCCTGATGCGCTCCTCTGCGTCCCGGGCTCCCAGGTGGGGGAGGGCCCACAGGGCTGTGCCCAGACCTGAGCAAACCCCAGCTGCTGCGCTGCTCGCAGGGGCTGAGGGGGTCTACCTTTATAGCACAAAAGGCGTGAACTGTTGTCAACAATTGAGGAGGATTGCCTTTAAGTTTGGAGTTACTCAGTTTCACCAGTGCAGGCGATGACACTTCCGCACGCTCGGTGCGTTCGCATGTATTTGCAAAAATCCCTGAATTAAGGGTGCCAGCTAGAGCCCAAGTAATTTGCATACAGCTCTTTTAACTGAAAGTGTGGGTGGCTCTGAAAAGAGCCTTTGGGTTCAAGGTTGCCACTCGCCGAGGGCAGCTCACGCCCGCTCCCCGCGGATGCGGCGCGCCAGCTGGATGTCCTTGGGCATGATGGTGACGCGCTTGGCGTGGATGGCGCACAGGTTGGTGTCCTCGAACAGGCCCACCAGGTACGCCTCGCACGCCTCCTGCAGCGCCATGACGGCCGAGCTCTGGAAGCGCAGGTCCGTCTTGAAGTCCTGCGCGATCTCGCGCACCAGCCGCTGGAACGGCAGCTTGCGGATCAGCAGCTCGGTCGACTTCTGGTAGCGCCGGATCTCGCGCAGCGCCACCGTGCCGGGCCGGTAGCGGTGCGGCTTCTTCACGCCGCCCGTGGCCGGCGCGCTCTTGCGGGCCGCCTTGGTGGCCAGCTGCTTGCGCGGCGCCTTGCCGCCCGTCGACTTGCGTGCTGTCTGCTTGGTGCGAGCCATTTCAAGAATAGTGATAGAAAGTACTGACTTGAACAAGGAGGAAGAAGTAGGCTTTATATATCCTCGAGAACATTCTGATTGGTTGTGCGCTTTTTCAAAAGTCCCGCGCAAGGAAACCACTGGCTGAAAAGTAAACGAGGTGATTGGTCAATTATTAGAAGCGGGGTGACGCGCTCCACAGTTAACGAGGTGATTGGTCAATTACTAGAAAAGGGGTGACGCGCTCCACAGTCCAATCCCTTCTCTGTTTCTGTTTAGGGCTAACAGCTGCCGTTGTCTGAGCCAGGAGGCCACAGAAAATAGCTGGTTTATGAGCTTATGCATTAAGAGCAGATCGGTCTGGTTCGTAGGTCCCACGCTGTGACCTGCTTGCTTTTGTTTGCATTCTTGAGAAATACGATTAGATTTCCACTAACAGTGGAATAAAAGTTTTTCTTTTGGGTTTATATTCCACTTTAAAGTAAATCTATAAAAACGAGGTTTCATTTAGTGTAGATTTCAGTGCACTTCATTTCTTGTTTTCTGAAAAGGAGATAAACTAAAAATGGTCAATGCCAATATCAGCAAAATTTAAAAGGCCCGCCCTGATGTGATCGGACATCTTTCACTCCTCTGTTCTATTATTTCTTTTATTCATATTTTACGCTTCCTGACAGCAGGTTTCCTTGAATATACAGGGTGCATATCATTGTGTGTATGTGTGTGTGTGTGTGTGTGTGTGTGTGTCTACAGTGCACATTTTCACAAAACAATTTGAACACGCTGAGGCGTGGTCTCAGTTCCTCCCTGACGTGTCCTACGTGGCCAGTCAGAACTTCTGTCCTGGCCCAGAGCTGCATCTACCCTCAGTAAAGGAGGGGCCAGAGACCCGTTTCATCAGTTTTTGGAATTTCTTGGTGTATAAAGTGTGAGCAACGGCTTACAACGCTGACTGAACTGACTCTTTGTGACAACACGTAGAACCCTAGTATTGAAAAAAAGGACACACGCAGATTCCAGCATTTTGGCTTTTCAGGGGAAGTGGGTGGTGCTATTTCCCTACCGGGACTGAGACCGCTAAGCGCTTCACTTCCAAGCCTGAGGGCTGCTGCTCGACCCCCTTCATTACAGGATACAAAGTATCTGTGTGCCTGTTTTACGGGGCTGCAGCAAGTTCTTTTTTATTGCAGATTTCAAGTGGGTACTTGCAGGTCCTGGGGGTTTTCATACCGCCACCTACTTGTAGGTGGAGAAATGACGGCGACGGTTATGCAAGCCCTTTTGGTGAGAAGGTGGGTGGCTCTGAAAAGAGCCTTTGGTTTCAAGTGCCGAGTGGCGGCCCCGCGCTGCAGGCTTTTACTTGCCCTTGGCCTTGTGGTGGCTCTCGGTCTTCTTGGGCAGCAGCACGGCCTGGATGTTGGGCAGGACGCCGCCCTGCGCGATGGTCACCTTGCCCAGCAGCTTGTTGAGCTCCTCGTCGTTGCGGATGGCCAGCTGCAGGTGGCGCGGGATGATGCGCGTCTTCTTGTTGTCGCGGGCCGCGTTGCCCGCCAGCTCCAGGATCTCGGCCGTCAGGTACTCCAGCACGGCCGCCAGGTACACGGGCGCGCCGGCCCCGACGCGCTCGGCGTAGTTGCCCTTGCGCAGCAGGCGGTGCACGCGCCCCACCGGGAACTGGAGGCCGGCCCGCGACGAGCGCGTCTTGGCCTTGGCGCGCGCCTTGCCGCCCTGCTTTCCGCGTCCAGACATGGTGAGCTCTAAAGTCTACTAGCAGATCCTGGCAGTGCAGAGGCAGCCCTTTTTATAAACCTTTTTGGGCGCGAAAGAGATACGTCATTGGTTTAGACTGCGGCTTCATCTTAACTCAAAAACAGGGCACATTTCTCATTCTTTCGTCTGATTGGGCAGAGGTATCTTTTTTTTGACGTGGCTTGGAATATCCACCAATCAGACAAAGGATTTTAGCACCTTATTTGCATGTCAGATTCTATATAAAAGGGACGCAACACAGTGTGCTAAACCTTTCCCTTTCCAGGCTAGCTGTACTCGGGATCATGCCGGAACCAGCCAAGTCCGCGCCCGCCCCGAAGAAGGGCTCCAAGAAGGCGGTGACCAAGGCGCAGAAGAAGGACGGCAAGAAGCGCAAGCGCAGCCGCAAAGAGAGCTACTCGGTGTACGTGTACAAGGTGCTGAAGCAGGTGCACCCGGACACGGGCATCTCGTCCAAGGCCATGGGCATCATGAACTCGTTCGTCAACGACATCTTCGAGCGCATCGCGGGCGAGGCGTCGCGCCTGGCGCACTACAACAAGCGCTCGACCATCACGTCGCGGGAGATCCAGACGGCCGTGCGCCTGCTGCTGCCCGGCGAGCTGGCCAAGCACGCCGTGTCCGAGGGCACCAAGGCCGTCACCAAGTACACCAGCTCCAAGTAGACCCGCAAGGAAGACGCTTGGACTCCTGAACCCCAAACCCAAAGGCTCTTTTCAGAGCCACTCAAATTGTCTCAAAAGAACTGTAACTATTCAGGCTTTGGTGTAAAGTTTTCAGACTTAAACTATTTATGATTTCCTCACGTTTTACCTCCCAGGCATAGTCACTAAAGAATGCCTACAGCTGGGTTTATTTCGTTGCCACAGTAACCAGTGTGGGGAACACAGCCCGGGCCTGGTTTGATCTTTTAATCTTGCACCGCCCGGAGGCTTCATAAACGGCTCGTTTTGGGTTTAATTTCTCACACAAGCCCCCTAACGTCTCCGCAGATTTCCTCACCAGAAGTACCCTTGGGTTGTGTCAGGACTCTTGGCAAGGCCGGGAGTTGTCTGACCTGCCTGCAGCGTTTTCCAACCAGCTTAGTATCTAAGAGTGGTCGGAAGAGGGCTGTCCGGATGCCAGAGAGCAAATGCCCTTGTTATGCAAATGTACCCACGACTTGGAATTCTGCTGCCCGGAGTGACGGGGTTGTGCCCCCAGGGTCCCCTTTGGGCACCCGATTCCCCAGGAGGGCGCCTGCGACCTCCCTGCCCTCCAGTGACCTTGTGCACAGGTCGTTTTCTCCTCTTCAGTTGCTTTTGTTTCCTGGGACGTTAAAAGAGGACTTGATCCTACAGCCACTCCCATTAGGGGTTGGGCACCAGCGCCTGATGCACAGAAAGAAATAAAACAGATCTAAACGCCCATCTGCCTGGTGGAAGCACTGCCTCCAGGGTGCATGAGGCCTTCTCTTAAGGGGGAGGCTGGTTGCAACCTTAGGGACGTGGGAACAGGATCAGAGGGAAAGAGAAGGTGAGAATGAAGGAACAGTGGCCGGGAGACACGTGTGTTCTTTGAGGCCCTGGGAAGTCCTTGGACCAGCCCAATGTCTTTAAAGTCACCGTCAGGTGGGATTTGGAACAGGAGGATCGCCTAGTGGTGAATTTACCTCCCCAGAGCCCTGGGCTGACGGGGGAACGGTGGCCCCTGGCAGAAGGAGCCTGTGCTGAAAAGTCTCCCTGCAAATGCCTGTGGAGCAGATTGCGGCGAAGGTTAAGGAAGTGACAGTTTTGTAACGGAGCCTGTGACGAAAATTCCCTGAAACCCACACATACAGTATTTCTTGCTCTCCAAAACAAATTTTAAATACACTTTGAAAATAGTGTGTTCCTTGTAAAAGGAAAAGTGTGGCTTAAGGGGCACTCGCCACAGCCGGACACGGGCCTGCTGCCCGTTGGGATGCTGAGTTCGCCTGAATCCCCGAAACCCTCGCCTCTGACCTGGGGGTGATAGTGAGCAAGGCCCGCGCGTGGTGCGCGGGGCTGGCCCATCAGAGAACACTGAAAAGCGCTTAGGCGGCGTCTTCGGACAGAGGGAGTCCTCTGGGACACCGGCTGCGGCCGAGGCCTCTGGTCCCCGTGTCAGTGGCGGTGCCCTGGGCCCTGCCCGCCCGGAGTCTGTGTCCTGAGGCCTTGAGTGAGCAGCCGGCCAAAAAGCCCGCAGACCTTTGACATCGGCCAGGGCTCCTCGTCTGGCGGTGTGGACAACACGCAGCCTTTTCTAACGGTCCAGTCAAGCAAGCTGCCGTTCCCGGGCCCTTCTCTTCAGACGCGGGGCACCTCCTGTCACTGTCAGATGCGTTAGGTTATAAGAAAGGGACCCTGGAAACCCACAAGAGCTGCTCAGCGGGTTTTTTTATTCTCTTTCCGTCTCCCCATGCGTCCCGCACCCGGCAAGCATGAGGTGTTTGCCTCAGAAGGGCAGCCGCATTTTCACAGCTCCGAGTGAACCGCGAAATTACTGTCCCCAGTCCTTCCCAAGCTGGGAAAAGCCAGCACCGCCCTGCAGGCTGCTGTAGGGGTGCCCGCAATTGGAAGACCCCTAGCCCTCTCCTTTCATAAAAGCACCACCCTCTTATTGCCTCAAAGGTCATAGGAATGGATTTGAAATAAGAAACACTTGTCCCACCCCGGTGCGTGTGGCTCCGGGGACTGAGTGCCAACCTGCGGACGCAAACGCGGCGGTTTATTCCCAGTCGGCCCGCGCGGAAGGGGCAGCGCCAGTCACCGGTGAGGGATTCTCTTTGGGGAAAAGAGCATTTGTACCAAATACACTTGGTCCTTGATACCGGATGAATTGGATTCAATTTTGATATTAGGAAAGATTGGCGACACTGAGCTTACTTTTCTCATCTTTACACGGAATAGAGAAAACCGTAACACAGACCGATGCCATCCGTGACGAGCTTGCGGGGACCAGTGACTGGTACAGATCCCTTCCTTTCAGAATCGACAGATACATTTCTGAACCAGCTCAGCCAATCAGAGGAGCGGGCAGGGTTAGAGCAGATTTCTTGACTATTTGTTCTAAAATTGTATCTACTCCTAACTTCCACATACTTTAAGCACTTACGGTCTATTATACACAGTTCACACACGGACATTAATAGAATTATTATGAAGCAATCTACACAATGGACATTGTAGGGACATTTTGTATGTGAGCTAAGCGTCTTTTAGATTTCCTCCGAGGCTGCAGACACAGCACACGTCAACGGAGGGGGCTGGACGGAT